TCTATTTTTTTTTCAAGAAATTTGCCGTTTTTTCCCCGAAATTTTCCTGAAATTTCCTGGAAACTTTCCAGGGCTTCCAACCCTATTCCCTTCACCAACTGCTCCCTCCTGTTGCATTCTCTTTGAATTTTCGTCTGCTCTTGTGAGGGACTACTAGAAACTCGCGGGCCCACACCACTCATGGCCATGTGCTCTAGCAGGACTTGCAAAGGGCGAGCCCGAGCGAGCCAGTAGTGCAGCAGTGAGGCCTGCCGGACGGTCTCCAGGACCAGGATTAGACCCCGCGCCCCGGGCCACCTCCAAAAGGGCCGCTTTCATCTTGAGCTGCCAGCGGCTGCCAGGCTCCTGTTTGGGCATGTGCGCTGTGAGGTCTGGAGGTTAGGACGCTTTGCCTGCTTCAAAAAAGGGGTCCGCGGAATCAACCGAGTCAACTTGTATCTCAAACCGGGCAAAATTGTTCACTATGCAGGATGTTTTCCTCGAGAGGACACATTTTTTCTCGCGTAAAGAGCATCCACAACTATAGCAGAAAAATATGACTGGCCACGTAATGCTAAATTTTGCACGAGGTTCTTTGGAACACGGTAAAAACGACGTCCTGGTTTTCATGACATTTTGGAAAAACCATGACGTCTTATGGAAGAAATGCATGGGAAACGTCAAGGTTTTCCAAACGTCATGAAAACCAGGACGTCGTTTTTACCGTGAAATACGAGAGGTCTCTCGCTAAACGAAACGGCGTCATACTATCTCACATGAATGAAGAACATCCATCCATACCGTCCGCTGGGTACAGCCAGCGCCTCCCCAGCGCCGGCGCCCCCCATGGCCGTCCGGTCATCGCCTGGTGTATGCGTACGCCGCCCCTCCCCACTGCGCCCCCGCCCCGCCCCGTCCCGTCCCACTCCGAATGGGTTCGTACAAGCCCCACGCCACCAGGCGCCACCCAAAGGCGTAAAGAGAGGAGCAAAACGCAAACAAGCAGGGGAGGGGTCACTCACTGCGGCCGCCAGCGGACATGACGTATGTGCAATTAAATTTTTGCTGGTGCAGTTTGTCGCACCGTGGTGAAAAAAAAAGAAGGGGTTAAAGGAGCAAGAAACATTGCAAAAGATACAATTCTGTTTCTAGTGTTGCAGTAGAAAAAAAAACTCACTCAATTTTCCCTTCCGACAAGTATATTTTAATTTGTGAGAATCAGCTTTTTCATAGGTTGTATTAAGATGCATTCATCCCAGTGAGAAGTGTGTATCCGACGACATCGTTTTCACGTCGTTAGCGGTACGAAAGTGGGTCTGAGTTCGGCGGCTTTTCAACAGTCGATGTCGTTTCGAGATGTCACAATGTTTGTGACAGCTCTTTCACCCAAAACGACACTGTTAAAAATTACAACAGTAAATAACTACAGAACGGACTGGTAATTTTGAAAACAATGTAATCCTTGTACGCTGCTCTACGTTCTTTATTCTGAAGGAAAGTTCTTTTCAAGCAATGCCAAGTCTTTATCTCTCAAATACCAGTCGAACAGATTTTGACCGAAGTATGGAAGTACAGAACGATCTGTATGAATTCTGTTTCTGGGTACAGAATTTTTAACAGTGGACGCTGTTAGTGCTCGCGCCTGCGCGAGTGTGCGGGCCTCGATCCCTACTATTTGCCCCTTGATGAGATGCGATGGGATGATTTGCTGCCGGGTACGATCCGCGTGTCCGGAGAGTCTGGGGCGCCTCGGAGGTCGGCCACCCAACGCGCTTCGCAGCCGCGCTGGCGGCCGGGGCGGGCGGCGTCGACAGACTACCACCGCCGGGGTAGAGTTGGAAATTTCAAAAATTTTCCGGAAAATTTCCGAAAAAGGCCCGAAAGTTTCCGGCACGGATAATAACTAAAAACTTTCGAGGTCTGGAAAATTTTCTGTTTTTTCCCCTGGAATTTTCCGGAATCCCCCTCTTTCAGCAGCGAGGTCTTCCAAGACACCCCACTACCAGAAGGGCTCGTTGCGAAACCTTATTGTCAAATTAGGGATCATCCAGAAAGTACGTCCGTCATTTTCCTTTAAGAAACTGTCTAGTTCCGCTAGCCCTAGCGCCGGTTGGATAAGCAACATCTTCCCTGCAGTGCATGCTTGTATTGCGGGGTGGCCTACCCGGCGTTTTGCAGGCACCGAGGTGCCGTTATTTGCCGAGAGGATCTGAAAAAAAAAACGACGAACTCGCTGGACGGTCTTGAAGTAGGAAGGTCTCCGAACACCTCTGAAGCACGTGGACTCGCTCTACCGTGTCGCCTGATGCGCGGGTGAATCTGAGAAGTTATACAGTTTTCAATCATTCCAATGCAAGTTTTATTTAATTTGCATGCGTTTCTGATTCTATCACTTGCATTAGATACAAGTGTACGAGTGGGATAGGGTTGGAAGCCCTGGAAAGTTTCTAGAAAATTTCTGGAAAATTTCTGGAAAAGACAGAAAATTTCCGTGAAAAAATGAAAAATTTCCCAGATTTTGGAAAGTTTTCCGTTATTATCCGTATATTTTCGAAAAGTTTTCCGAAATTTTCCGGAAAATTTGGGAAATTTCCAACTTTAGAGTGGGACCCAAAAGAACCTTGACTGCGCTCGGCAGACAAGTGCTTTGAATGCGTGCGTGCCGCGAGGCTGCCGCCGCCGCAGTGGCCTGGCGTCTGTTCCATCGGAGAAAGTGAATAGCATGAGGAATAGCTCGCCACTAGCACGCCATGGTACACCACGCGGGTGCGCCCCGGGTACGCCCCGGGTACGCCCAGGGTACGCCACTGGTACGGCCCAGGGTACGCCACTTCACGGACGTTGCCCTTTTCGGTGCACACTGCGTTGCATCACACATGCATCTATCCAACAGTCGGCTCAGTTTGCGGACTATCATTATTTGAAAAACAAAAACAGCAATAATATTTTGCCCCTATTAAACCGCAGTCGCCGTCGCCGTTTGGTCCTATTGAGGGGAAGGTACCTTCCGAAGTCTTTAGTCCTTCCGGAAAAATACCGGAAAGAGAGAGAGAGAGAGAGAGAGAGAGAGAGAGAGAGAGAGAGAGAGAGCGACGAGTAGCAGAGATAGGGAGAGAGTGGGGGCGTTGGCGCCGCTCTGGAGGACCCCGGCTGCAGATGCTGCAGATGAGGCGCCATTATATTATGCAATGCCGGGGGCGCCAACCTCGTACACAGCAAAGATATCGAAACGATGTTGTAGAAAATAGGTCGAAAATGTAACAGCGTTCGCAGTGTCTCGACCGATGATACAGAGTACGTTTATTCTTTATTCTAGAAGGAAAGGCGCACTTGAAATGCCATACCTGGGACGATACAAAACCTGCATTGACGGAAACCATCCACGAAAAATGGCTCTCTTACATGACTCCTTCATGACTAATGTCACGCACTGGGTTTGATATTGTTTGTTACAAAACGATGGAGCAAAAGCACAAGTAAAGAGGAGGGGGGGGGGGGCTCGTCACGTTACGAGTGACCAGCGCGAAGCTGGCCCGCGCCGTTACTGTTTTGCACGTGATCCGTCTCTTTTCTGGAGAAACTACTACTAGTAACCGCAGCAGCAGCAGCTCGGGGCGTTATGCGCGCGGTCCGTGCGGCGGCCGGCGCGAGCGCCTATTCGCGAGAATCAGCAATGATGACGCAGACGAAGAGCTGGCAGCCTGCGCCCGCGGCGTGGGGCAGACCGGAGGAGGGCAGACCGGAGCCCATCTCCCAGAGAGATGCTACAGTTCGGAGGCGGGTTTATTCGGCTCTGAAGCTGCGGCGCGCAGTAGTCCGTAGGCTCTTTCTAGCCTGACCTGC